TGGAGTTTATACATTTTTGCAGAAGCAATCACAGCTTACATGTAGTGCCTTTCCTTTAGAAAACTCCTGGATTAGCTTTTCTGATGGGTTGATGCTCAGATTTCTGAACTGTAACGTGAAACGGTCGAGGATTCTAATGCTGGGACACACCACTCCCAATGCTTGGATGTGCCGCAAGGATTGCTTGATATTGTCCACAATAGACTTTGGATGAAAATCAGATCCTTTGACGCTAAGAATGCATTCACTGTGAATGCACCATTAGATCTATTCTCTTGCTGGAATTCATTTGGATGTGAGCTAAATGGTTTGTTGTAATATTAGTGTGCGTGGACATAAGTTAATCTTTAATTCTTAATGTAAAATGATTCAGAGTTGGAAGAAAATAAACCCATCATGAAAAGATAAAATACATTAGTCAGTGGCATGTATTTTGTTTCATAATTACAGCCTATTATGGATTTGTACCTTGGCACAGTTGCTTCACGCACAAGTATTATGTATGATGACAGTGTGATATAAAAATGAAAATCTTTGCAATAAAAATTCTAACTACATTATGGTAAGTGCAGTTATACCTTATGCAAAGATGTGGTAGATAATTGCTCTGCATTTTCACAGAAGAATGTGACACATGGCCTGACAAAAGTGATACTTACTCATACATTAAAACTGTGAAAGAATCCAGCCCCCTTATTTGCTTCAATGAGGTCACAGTGTGACGCAGCAAAGGTGCCAACTTGGAGTGCCAGTTACCAAGGAAACAGGGCACTCATCTAAATGTGATGATGGGATGATGCCGTTATTTGCCTTATGGTCACTCCAACAGAGGATTTAATTATTATGGATATCGCAATAATTGTACAAGCAAGTGAAACTCCTGCTTTCATGTTCTAAAGCCCTGAGAACTATTAGAAAAATATTTAAACTTAAACAAAATAAAAGTTATTACTTAATCCCATCCTAGCAAACCTTTCCAGTTATAAAAGAGAATTGGTTTGAATGTGTGAGGGGAGTATTAGCATTCTTTAAACCTTTCATTTAAACGGATTAGACAGATTTATTTGTCATTTTGTATACAGGAGTGTATGCAAGAAGAAATTTTGTTTAAATCAGCTCTATGCTTATCATGGTTATCTTGTTATAACCACAAACACACTGACATATTTTTTGAGGAATTTTGCTTACTACAGTAACGCAGAGCTTTCCAGGATTATGAATCAACTTTAAAGTGCCTTGGGATAACATATGTTGTGAATTAGGGCAAAATAAAATGTTACAGTGGGGGAAATAAGTATTTGATCCCTTGCTGATTTTGCAGGTTTGCCCACTTACAAAGAATGCAATGATCTATAATTTTAATCATATGTACATTCTAACAGTGAAAGACAGAATCCCAAAGAAAATTCCAGAAAATCACATCATATGAATTTATTAAAATTGATAACCATCCTCCATGGTGTTTGTTTTTCTTGCTTCTGTATAGCAAGAAGCAGAATAGTGACTTATGTCAGGTATTAAGGACATTCAGGTCAGATGGATGCGACCTGGCCGTTCAGACACAGGTCGCATTTAAAAAGATCAGATTCATTTGAAAAATCAAAAAGATTTGAACTGTGCTCCATTTAATAAAATATCAAAAACCTTTTCTGTGTTTCATTCGCAATAAAATGTACTAAAAAATTCAAACATTCAAGTAGGACATTTCAACTATACTACTCCCAGAATGAGTTGGAAAGTCAGTCCATACTTGACTTCCTTATTCAGGATGCTTCTACTTTCATCAAAAGTAGTTAAACTTTACAACATGTAAAATTTCATCAGATGTACATGTACAGAACTAGTTATAGAGTTTGTAAGAAATTATGTTTTAAAATGGTCTATATTTGTAATAGTGCCTGCAGTTTCCATTCGTAAACAATGAAGAATCTAAGTGTTCACATTTTGGAACCTGAAACATTGTCCCTGTTACGTCATAAGCCATAATATTGAATTTGGACATAGAGGACCAAGGTCCTGGCTGGCTAACTTTAAACAAAGTTGGAGTCTTCTCATTGCCTTGTTACAATGAGAAGACGCTCCCACAGAAACATTCAATTCTGCCCCCTACTGTACTTGGGGACAAAGGCATCACCTCACAGAGTCATAGAGACACATCAGGGAGAAGAAGACATTGGAGTTAATTCCTCAACCCCTGTTTATGTAGTCTGAAAACCTCCTTTGATTTTAATTGTGAATTACTGTGAACACATTCAAACTGTTTTAAATCAGTTAACAGCCAATTAAATGTTATTCGAATTTCTTCAAGGTAACATTCGGTTCTCAACCATAAAATCCATAACAAACTGTGATACCATTGCATCATTTTATTGATTATGGTTTTCAACCATTTTCTTTGGGTCCATAGTATTATTAATTAATTAATTCATTCATTCATTAAATAATTAAAGTTGTGAATTTATTCTATATGTTTGCAGATTTAACTGTTTGACCATGATTTGAGCTTGAATCACACTTTCTTTTGTTATCCTAACACCCAGTCAGTTGGGGTTGTGTGTTCACAGAACAATACATAAAAGTCAGAGGGTCATTTAATTAAATACCATCCACCAACTTCTGAAGCAGATTGCAGTGCATTTTATTTGTGTCTCGTATTCCCTTGTTTATTTGTCTAAGGTAGGTTGAATGTAAACACACTTCAAGCATTTATTGTTGAATAAACTTTTATTTCCACAATGATGCAAAAACTTTCTGGTTTTATATCCAGAGGTTTTTGTTTGTAACATGAAAAAATTTCCAAAAATAAGGGTATCAATGCCTCTGCAAGGCACTGTAGGCTGGGCCATTTGACATAATGTATTTGTATCTGTTTACCTTTTGCAACACTACCAGATTACATTGTTTTACTAACATGAACATATTTGGGTAGGTCTCAGATAGCTTGTTTTCTAAAAGTTTAATTCTAAGGATAGATTCTTCCCTAAGCCATTTATTTATATATACACATACACACACACACATATATATATATATATATATATATATATATATATATATATATATATATATATATATATATATATATATATATATATATATATATATATATATATATATATTTATACACAATTGGTTTATTAATCTACTTACCTTTCATGAGGTTTGTGGTGTGATAAGCCTAAAGGAGTCTAATAGTGTGTTTAAGCTGGAAGGAATTATACACCCTGTGAAAAATGGGGTGTTTAATATAACACCAACATTTCCTATCTGTATGATGGAGTCAAACAACATAAAAAAACTGAACTTTCAAGTTGTTTCCTCAGAAAGTAATTGAACTTGGATGGGATTATGAAGCCAGCTGGTCTCGGGCAGTTCAAAGCTGCCTGTTTTACATTATTTACCGACATCAAATTACTATCCATAATTAGATTTTTTCCGGAGCTGCACTGGGCCCCCTTCCAGCTTGAAAGTTAAATAAATGAATTACATGCTAAAAAAGGAGGGTCAGTTTTGGGTGAAAAAATGTAAAAACTGTACCTCTCTTATTGGAGCTGTTAGTTATGTAGTGTATTATAAAGCCTTTTTACCATTACAACTTCGAAAGTAAGCCGATTTTTTTCTTTAGTTTTATTTACTTACATGTTTCCACATTCTGCAGGTAGCTATGTTCTTTTTTTTTATTAAATACTTTTTTTTTTTTAGAAACCTTTTCAATAAAGCTAACAATCTGCATTTGACTCCCTTCCCAATTGCAAAAAAAAAAAAGAAGCTTAGTCTGACCCCCGCTGGCAAGCTGCGTGGCCTCTGTTACCCTACTGCTGGGTGTCTGGTGACACCATCACCTTGGGTTAGCGTTAATGATGTCACCAAATTAACAGAAATCAGAAAAGTATACAAGGGAGAGCAAAGGTAAGGAAGCCAGGACCTAGGAATTGTGCTTTATTGTTTCATTCTTTTCTTCTGAATCCCTCTTACCAGTGCTGTGCCATGTGTATCAACTGTAAACGTCCTTACATTGCTCTCAATGGTATCACATAAATTAGCGGGTCGACCTTTGTCTGATGTTCCCACTATTTACCGATTGTAGCTGAGCCGTTAAAAGGCAATTTTAATCCGGATTAAAATTTGCTATTTTTTTTTTATAACCTTGTGAAGCACATGAAGAGAGCTGGAATTGCCTTTCATCCGGTACTATCTGCATTATTTAACCATGTGCTTACCTTATGGCATTTGGCATGCTGGCAGACAAAGCCTGCGCTTAGCCTAACAAAGCTGCTAAATAACTGTTAATACATCTATTTATAGATCTAAACACAAAGTTTACCCTTTTAAACCTGTGTTACTACTATACTCAATTAACGTATTCAAAAACTATTATAAAAGTTATTTATGTTTTCATCAATTTATATAATCTATCAATCAATCAATCAAACTTCTTTATTGTCAACTACAATTGACAATTGTAGTACACAGGTATTGAGGATGCAGAATCATTGACATTAAGCATAACTGGTCATAATGCTGATGGCTAGAGGACAGTAATGCATGTCTAATATGACCCTTGGTATGTGTGAAATACACATCTTACTGCATTGGGTGAATATATACTCAACCTTGGCTGCAACAAGACTGGAAGAAGTTAATTCACAGCAACACTCTACACTGCGTTAGACACATGAATATGCAACAATCAGACGAAGCATTATGAGACATTACATTAATAACAGCCAGTATCTCTTCACCACGATATTTATAATCAGTAGAATATGATAGGCAGAGATAACACAGTTTGTCTTAAAGTTAGAAACACAAATACTTAAGCAAGCTCAAATACTGATCATGGTAGTCTGCACTGGTTAGTTTAATCAAAATTAGTCTATTGAAGTAGCAGTGTTGTACCACAGCAGAGTATAGATCTTGTTAATAATAAAGAAATGACTGAGGGTTGTATAATAGAGGTTATTTAGGTGAAATTCAGTAAATGTTTTTGACCTACTCACCCTTATCATGAGGACAGCTTTCCTGATGTCACGGACACCATCGTAGACCAAACGGGATGCATCAATAAATTCATTCTCCTCAAAGGCCTGTGGGGGGTTTGTACTCAACGCCTCAATCGCCACTTCCACCTGTTCAGCAAAACGTGGCATGACTGCAGGAGGGGGAAAAAAAACAGAAAAAATTGGTTATTGTTAGTCAACTGTTTCTTTTTATGAAGAAATAATGTTAACATTTGTCATTTCTGCAGCTCATGAATTCCTAAAATATAAAACCAAACTGTTTCCACAAAATGTAATTCAAAATAGCGATATTCCTTGTAGCCATAGGCCGGTGCATGCTCTTCTGTGGTAATTGTGTGCATCTGTGACTAACTAGGGAGATAAGTATGTGCACCAATGTGTGAGTGCAGGCTGTCAAATCATAATGTCAGTGAAAGGAAACATTCATCAAAGCCTTTTTGAGCTGAACAAAAGCCCTCCAACATAGGGCCCCTATTAACCACAAAAATTGCTGATTTTCTTCTCAATATAAACTGGTGGGAGTTGATGGAGAACTTTATGGCCTTTTTGTTTTTCTGTTGAATGGGCTTTTAATAGTCTGGAATATTAACTTTATGTTTCAATATCTATCAGGCCACATTCCTCCTAAAATTAGCATCCATTTACAGACTTTGACAGGCGATAGACAGAGAGGACCCTAGGATTCTCTTTGCAATGAAGGGATTATTTCTGCTTCACAAATGCTTGTAACAGTTATACTATTATTGAGTGTGGTTCTTGTATACCCCTTGATTATTTTTTTATCATGTAATCATCTATTAGAAATGCTATTTAGCAAGGATTGTATTGCAAAAATTACAAAAAATTTGAGAAGATATTATTTAAAAGAATATATTTATTGTTTACTTAAAAAAAGGAAATTTGTATCATTAAAGACTGAATCAGTTGTCTATAACAAAAATACCCAGATTGATCTAAAAGAACACATTTCTGGAGGAGAAACATTTTATGAGGACAAATGGATGATAAGAAGAAAACTATGGGGAAAGAAAATAGGGTGATAAAGATTAGCTGGTGGACTCTCATCCGAAAGCTAACTGAGTGGTTTCATTATTATTCTCTACATTATCCTGCTCAATACAACCAAAGCAAGCTAAATCAATTATCCCACTTGCACTAAAGGTGTATCTGCAATCTACCTATTAGTTTGATATAAAACAAAGTCTGCATTTCATGTAACATAAAAGGCACTACAAAAAACTCTCTGCCTTTCTCTTTTCATTTTTAATTCAGTTTAATCCACTTACTGCATAAGCGTAAAATAGGCTTTTGGGAATTGCTGGGAAGGCGATTTAAATAGAAATATTTAAATGTTCTCAGAGCTCTTAATGAGCAAAGTTGCTGGTAAGAAGCAATTTCAGTCATTCCAGTTGAAAAATTATGTAGGGAATTAAATGTGACGATGTACCAATGGATTTTTTTCACCCGCCAGGCTTAAACGCAGTTAAACTGAGAAGTTATGGAAGTACAATGAGTGCATGAAAACTTCAAAGCAGTGGCCCTGTGCCCTGGTGATGTGTTTAACGAGATATAGGCTGCACAGCTTATACCTTTTCTGATGCAAAAGCCTTAATTTCACGTCCAAAAAGCCCCATTTAAACAGCATATTATGACAGCTAAAAGCAAAAAATATCAAAAAATCCAGCTGAGAGAGCATTAACTTATAATATGAAGTTCAAATGTTGAATTATATAACTGGTTTTAGACTCAATTGTATAACTGTCCGACGATAAGCTCCAAGTGTTGGACTTGTTATCTACAGTGGCTGGACACAAATATAGCAAATAGAACCTATTTTGAAAAGAAAATGGAAGATTTTGCTAGATTGCAAGTGTTTTACAATGTGCACTGAATCTCAATTTAAGTAGCTGCAATGCTCCCTCCATGGTAGGGCTTGGTGCCTTGATGAACTGCTCATAATTAGAGGTGAGATAGAATGAGAAGCTGTCTGTTTTCTGGTATATAAATATATAGACATAGCTTAACTGAAAAATAATGTTCTTTTTGAAGTGCTAATATTCAGTGGGGAGCTGGAGGAGAAACTCGACCGTTCTACATTGAAAGCAGTCAGTTGATGTAATGCAGACATCAATTTATGCGTGCACATCATACTGATAAAAAGAAGCTTTGCAGGATTACCTACACTCTTTGGTCTGGGTTGTCTTTAAGTTGCTGGAAAGGATCACTTTGCTGAGGTTTCCTCTTAGTTTTCCTTCTCAGCCCAATATTTCAGCATGCAGAAATGTAGCAGTAGGAAGCAGGGATCAAGCCCATGGTTTTCAAATGGCATTACTATTGACCAACAGTTGCCCAAAGAAAAATAATGAAAAATCAATTTTGTAATATAAAAAAAAAGAAATAGATGGTAAACCAGGTTAGAGGCATTTAAAAAAAAAGTTTTTTCATTTACCATTAATTTATGTTTATACCAGGAAAACAGGAAAACACTGAACACTACTTTCTAATAACTACATATTTTTCAAGTCTATATTGGATGAAGATAGAGAATAATACATAGTATAAAATATAGATTACAAAATATGTCAATACAATTTCTACCTGTACATGTCATTAATAATTATGTCATTTCTTGATAAAACATTCTTACTTTTAATAATTCCTATTTTGTTCTACTGAAGTACTTTCTTTATTAGTCACCTGGATTTTTAATGGATATTCTTGAAAGAATTTTTTAGAAGCACACTGAGAAGATCAACCTTAAGGATATGGAGCCATAACGAACTTATACGTTTACCACTGTACAGATGTCTTATACAGTATAGGTGCTGCCAGAGTATTTGAAGAATGTTGTGACTTGTGTTAAAACTTGTAATTTATTGGAAAAATGTGCCGATATTTGAGTCTCATTAATTAGTTGCAAAAACAACAGAAATGTAAAATCTCATTTCCAATTATCCTGCATGTCTCTGGTAATACTTTGAAGGGATCCACAGGTTATATATACTTTGTTAAAAGCTTCATGTTCACTCCAATAACTCCCTGGAGACATCTAAAAGCAGCAGGACCAATTTGTTGACAAAAAGCTTTGGCATTATACAATACATTACCTATTCTGAAAACTTTTACGAATCGCTGCGGGTGGATAAAGTAAAACACCCATTCACACACTAATGGTGGTAAGCTATGTACCAGTCTTGCCCAAGAACACTGTCAGGAGATGGACAGAGCTGGGGTTTGATCTTCCAACCCTCAAATTGCAGGATTAACTCCTGCATCCTACACAACTGTCTACCCATATTCTCCCCACATTGTTGTAACTGCTTTTACTTGTTAAAACCTGAAACAGTAGGACCATTATGGCCATTAACCAATCTTTAAATAGATTAATCTTCATTATAAAAAAAATATTTCCACTTAACATTTGTCACAACATCACAAAAACACAGTATATTTCAGAATCCTTTGTTATTATATATTTTATTGCAACTGGCACAGCTATTTCAAGGCAATTATATAAGGATGTGACTCATCCAGAGCATTTGTTCATTATGTTTTCTTGTAGCTTCTTAATCTACAACATTTCAGTTATTAAAAGCTCTAAGCCTCTTCAGACTGTGTAGCATGTCTTTATTGGTCCAATGTGCACATCTGCCTGCAAATCTCTTGAAAATCACACTCAACCAGGGAATTCAGGCACGTGAATCTCTAATATGCCTCAACAGAAGCCAATCACAAAATGCAGTGAATCTAACATCCCAATCCGACAACCAGGGATAAACTGTAAGACCGAGAGAAAAAAGTCCCATGCTGTGAAGCTGGATGGGAGACGGAGGAGTGTAGGAAGTGTTGAACATTGAAACTGTTGGAACAAATTTGGTTGCAAGGCGTACATTACAACAGCAGTCTAATATTTAATCTAATCTTCAAGGAAACACTTTGGTGCCATTAGCTTCCTTTACTGTTCTTACAGTAAACTTGAGGCAGAACATCTCTCCTCTCATCCAGAGCTTGTATAATTTTAGCACAGTGTAATAAAAGGTAAAAATTTAAAAGACCATTTCCAAGCCTTTTTTCAGAGTTCCATCCTAACTAGACTGTAAATAATCCAAACCTTTTCATATTGTGTTGGTTATTCGTTGAAACTGTTAAAAAATTAATAATGATTGGTGCACCCATTTAAATGAAGGGTGGCCCATGGGATGAAATTATATTGCAACAAAAAAGTATTTAGCTCTGGTAAGTATTAGTACAGAGTCCGTGGTGGTTGTAGTTGCATATTGAGGTGCATAGCTACATATCAGACAATGTGCATAATAGTATTTAATGATGGCTTAATCTTTTTTAAGCATAATAACCCTTGATGCCAAAAATCTAACTTGATTTAATTCAATTCAATTCAGTTTATTTATATAGCACCAATTCATAGCACATGTCTCTAAAGGCACTTTACATTTCAACCAGATCATACAGACAATTTGATTCAAAGTTTTCTATCTAAGAAAAAACTGTTGATTGCATCGACTCATTGACACTAAGCATGCTTGTAGCAACAGTGGAGAGGAAAAAAACTCCCTTTTAAGAGGAAGAAACCTCAAGCACAACCAGGCTCAGTGATCTGCCGAGGCCTACTGGGGTTCAAGGAGACAGAAGAAGAGATACAAAAAGCAACTGTAAAAGGCGGCCCCATCCAAGAAAACACACAGCCAGGCAGATGAGCTCCAAGCCAACTCCAATGTCAGAGGATGAAGAGAGCACATCCAGCCAGTCACAGTCAGAGAAACAGGATTACACTGAAAAACAGGCTGATCTCCAACATCTATAAACAAAGGTCTTGATGGCAGCAGCACAGCTTTCATTTCTCTCCAGGATGGAGTTACAGCCAAACAAGAACAGACCAGATGAAGCTACTCTGAGAATGAGCAGAGAGAGCATTAGGTTAGAGGTTGAACTAACAAATTCTGCAGAAAGGAGTAATAGAGATAGGGTGACTCAGTCTTAGCCTATAGCAGCATAACTATAGAGATAGCTATGGATAACCTGAGCCACTCTAAATATAAACTTTATCAAAAAGGAAAGGTTTAATCCTACCCTTAAAATAGACAGGGATGATTTTTGTTATCGTGGACTAAAA